AAGTTTTCGCTATCTCGGATTAAAGTACTTTTGACTACGAAAACTTTTTATGCTCTTATTCTGCCTTATACATCTCTACTCTCCAACATTCATATTTCTCTTATACTAAAATTTTCACCAGCAAAATGTTTTTTGTTTAAGAAAAAGATACAATAAAACTATTTGAAATTTACCTCTTCAGGATCAAGTACTGATGGTTTCAAAGCAGGTACATGTATTTCTTCATAACCATTCTTTTGTAAATGATATGAATCATCAGTTAATCGACAACTTTTATTAGCCATAAAATGACTTCCTTATGCAAATAAGAGATCTTCTAAATTAACAACATGTTGTGGATTACTAATCGTCTAAATAAAAAAGAAAAAGTTATTGTTTTGAATTTTCTTTTTTTTTTTTAATTTAATTTACTTCAGTAGTTCCATTTTCCGTTTCCATTGCATCTTGATCTCCATCTTCACCTCGATTTTTTTTTTGATGACACATGACGTTCACGATCATCCTATTGATTCAAAAGAAGAATTTTTATTTGAAGAACAAAAACAAACTAACCTGTACTGCATCACTTCGATCAGTTTCTGATAAAGCTTGTAAAATCCAAACTAAATCTTGATCGTTTCTCATTTTTTCTTCAATTTTTGCTTTTTCCGATGCACTTTATGATGAAGCAAGTAATGTACAATATAGAACTAAAATTAAAAAAAAAAAAAAAGAATTATTCATAAAGAAACAAAAAATAAAAAAATCAATACATACTCATATGTCGATGTGTTCTTAAAGTTTTAATAAAATCAAATTGACCATAACTAAGTAAAATTACAAGTTGATTTTCTAATTCTCTATCATCAGATGCTGTTTTAAGAATTTCAAGAACTTCTTGTGCTTTTAATTTTGCATCAGTTGCTTCAGCATAAACTTTACTTAAATTTCTTTGTAACCAAAATTCATCTATTAAATGTGGTTGTAATGTTTTACTTGGATGAGTGAAATCATCATTTGCACTCTAAAAAAAAAATCAACCGTATAAACCATGGTCAACATCTAGATTTGAGTTCTAATCAAAAAAGAGATTTGATACTGGTATCAGGCTTACCAAAAAAAAGTGTCGCAAGTAATTAATCACTTTTAAGTTATATTGCATTTTTCAATTTCGACTTGAAATTTTACATAGAACCAAGCCTTAACAAGATTAGCTTATTGTAAACGTTTCAGATATTTTTGTAGGACCTAGTGCAAGATGCAGCAGCCATAGTCAAAGCTCATCTTTTACATCGCTCATATATATATATATATATATATATATATATTCGTAGATTCGATGTTCTTATTTCAGGACAGGAATGGATCCTTTCACAATTCTCATTAAGGTTTGTTTTTTATGCAAAGTGTTAAGGCAAAATTTGAAAATTAGTTTTCCTGAGAGGAACCACGGCATTGTATTGAAAAATGTAATATGTAGAAAGCAGTAAGATATGGATTCGAACTCTTTTTTTGGAGTATTCATAAATCATTAAGGTCTGTATGATACGTATAGTCCCAATTTGAAAGCAATTCATTAGTTTGGGAGACTTAGCTTGTTAATAAAACTTCTATTAGCATAGAGCTTAAAATTATTCTCTATAAATTTGAAACAGTTTCCACTCATTTAATCATTAGTATTCTCTTTGTTGGATGGTCAATGAATGTGCAATTGATAATTATTTACCGTTTTATTAAAAGTTTTTTCATGAATTGTATAATCCATTTTTACTTCTTTACCTTCTGATAGATCACCTTCTTCATCTTCACATACTTCATTATCATCACCTTCATCTTCAAATTCAACATTAACACCATATGTTTCATCAATTTCTTCTTCTACAAAAGAAAAACAAATATTTATATTAAGTAATCAGTTTTTTTTTCTTTTCTTATGAATTTACCTTCTTTTCCAGTTTTATCATCTGTTGACCAATCAGTAATTTTTTTTTCCAAGATTAACAAGAAATGCAAAACGTTGATCAGGAATTTTTGTACTTAATAATGTTTCAACTTCATTTTTACGATCTTTATCACGTAATTTATCATTTTTAAGTACAATTCAAACTTCATCAGCTGCACCACATAGAATACTTCGTGCTTGATTACAAATAAATTCTTGTATAAAACCAAGTAAAACTTCATATGTTTATTTAGTTTCTTGAGTTTTCGGTCGATATAATATACTTGGTGCATCATCAACTGAATCACCAAGTAATGTTTGACCTTTAAATCGTCCAAGATCATATTTTGATCAATGATCTTCATCTTTTTTTTTGTTTTCTATATAAATAGAATATAAATATTAAATAAAAAAAAACCAAGTCAAGATATTGAGAAATGATGATACGAACTTATTACTACGTTCTGATCGAGTATGTTGAGCATGATCACCCATTTTAGTACCTTTTAAATGATCTGCAAGAGCAAGTACTTCACCGGTCGCTTCATTACATCCAGGTCAATCAATTAAAGATTTATCAACTTGTAAGACAAAATTGAAATTCTATTTAATAAATGAGGAAATTTATTTAATTAATTAAATTTATTCTACTTACAGCTTTATATTCAAATTGTACACGACGAGAAGCTTCATCAGCCATCTTTCACTATAGAAATCGACACGAAAAAATTTTAGATACTACAATTATTTCACTGTTGAAGTGAAGTTATGGTACTTCTTCAGATGAACGACAGCCCATTCTATTGGTTGTATGAGTAAGAGGAAAGGAAAAAAATCCTAATCGATATTATAGGCGAAAGGGGGCGTACACTTCTGTATTCATGCGAGCAGTGAAAAAAACTCATAATTTATGAGAATCTAAGGATTGTGACCAGTAAAACATTAAATCCAAAATATGTTGTAATGTAAGCACGTAAGTGAAGTTGGCCCCAGATTCGAGTAAATCTTGCCACGATTCGCCCAGGAACTTGTTCCAAATCTCCTATTCTTGTTTCAAGTAGAACTCGACAAACTCTATCCAATGGTATAATTAGATTTTCGATAGTCCAAACGATGCAAGAATAAAAACCAAAGTATTAGTTTTTTTACCATACAATCCATAGAATCCATTCCGTAGATCCTACCCCGATTCGCTTAGGAACTTGTTTCAAACCTCCAATTCTTGTTCCAAGTAGAACTCGATGAGCTCTATCCAATGGTATAATTAGATTTTTTATAACTCAAATAATGTGGTCAGAAAGTTCAAAATGCCTACCATATACCCGATAAGTCATGGATCTCGTACCATAGGTCCTGCCCCGATTCGCCTATGAACTTGTTCCAAAGGTCCTATTCCTGTTCCAAGTAGAACTCGATGAGCTCTATCTAATGATATAATTAGATTTTCAATTGCCCAAACTATGTGGTCAAAAAGTCTAAAATACTTACAGTCTCCCGCGGACAAAAAAAAGTTCCTTTTTCTGACTTATTTTTTCATCATCTAATACGCTGTATTAAAAAAACAAAATACACTACAATATGCAGCGTGAAAAGTTCTACAATCTACAAAAGATAACTTATTTTATAATTGCATTTTTTTTTTCAAAATGGACAAAATTCTGAGCCACTAGTTTTTGTCACTTCGAAAAACACAACACCTGTTTCCACTCATTTTTTCACCATCTAAGGCGCTGTATTAAAAAAACAAAATATACCACAAGATGCACCGTGAAAAGCTCTACAATCTATAGAGGACAGCTTATTTTATAATTGCACTTTTTGTTTTCAAATTAAATAAAACTCTGAGTCACTAATTTTTGACAGCTAGAAAAAAATAACTTTTTGATACATGTCGAACTCGGTTTTTTTCATATTTCATCTTTTTATCATTTGATATGCTTTACTAAAAAGAAAACAAAATATACTACAAGATGCAGCGTGAAAAGCTCTACAATTTACAAAGAACAACTTATTCCATAGTTGCACGTTTTTTCTCAAAATGGACAAAACTCTGTGCAACTAATTTTTGATGTTGCAAACAAGATCCTTCTTTGGTACACAATCAATTTCTTTTCTTATTATTTTGGTTAATGAGTTGTATCGAAAGTTATAATCGATGGCTGAGCAATGGGATAAAGTTAAAAGCAATGATTCATTAATTAATGACATAAGAAAAGGAATTCATAATGTACCAAAAAACTATTTTTTCGAAGAGTCAAAAACTAGTGGCTCAGAATTTTGTCCATTGTGAAAACAAAAAGTGCAATTATAAAATAAGTTATCTTTTGTAGATTGTAGAACTTTTCACGCTGCATCTTGTAGTGTATTTTGTTTTTTTAATACAGCGTATTAGATGATGAAAAAATAAGTCAGAAAAAGGAACTTTTTTTTGTCCGCGGGAGAGTATAGCCAATGAGTCATGGATGTCTATGGCACCAGGCTCATCGAACATAGGGAAAAAATCAATATTTAGGATATGTTGACCACATTCTTTGAGTTATAAAAAATCTAGTCATACCATTAGATAGAGCTCATCGAGTTCTACTTGGAACAAGAATAGAAGTCTTGGAACCAGTTCATAGCCGAATCGGGACAGGATTTACTAACGTGGGTACATGCAGCCTACAGGGAAAAAACGGATTTTTTGGATTTTCTGACCACCTAGTTTGCGCTATAGAAAATATGATTATACCATTGGATAGAGCTCATCGAGTTCTACTTCGAACAAGAATAAGAGATTTGGAACAAGTTCCTGGGCGAATCGTGGCAGGATTTACTCAAATATGGGGCCAACGTCACTTACGTAATGTAAGTCGACTCTTTGGAAAGAAAGTACTATCACGTAAAGAACGAGAAAATTTACATGTTTGACAATACCATTTGTATTTATCTTTTGCTACTGCACAAGATCCTAAATACCAATTATGATGTTTCTTTGGGCATGGTTCAGTTGAAACAGCATGTAATAAACCCACACGTTGACAAAATTTGATGTATTGATCTGTGATCAAAGTTAAATCGTTCCATTCACGAATAGTTAAACTATCAAGAGCAGATAACGGAAAATAAGCCATTGTTAATGAGAAAAAAAAATTATAGCAAAATGATTTTAAATACAGCATCATTAATTCCACTAAACTTAAACCTATTCCTATATAATTAGATTGTCTGTTTTACGTTAATTACTTTTTGGTCTTAGTATGACACAGAGATTTACGCCCTCTTTCGCTCTAACATAGATTATTTTTTTTATTGAGTCAACGTAATAAGCGAATAGAATTTTTTTTCCTTTCTTCTTACTCATACAACCAATAGAATGGGGGTGTCGTTCATCTGAAGAAGTATCCTGAATAGATCCCGTCTACACTAGAAAAATAATACAGTATTAACTTCGTATTAAAATGATGTGTGTCTTCACTTATAACTTAATGCATCAATCAGAATTTAGAATGAAGTGTTGCTTTAATTTAGTTCAATTGGTGTACATGAACCGAATTGTGTTTTGATTGGTGCATTAACTTTAATACAGTTTTGAAAAGTGTATTAACAACTTAATACACTTTTCAAAACTGTATTAAGTGTGTATTAACTTTTCGACCAATCACGTTCCTTAATACAGTATTAACTTTCATAGTGTAAACTCCCCTACAGAATAGAAATCCATTCGGCTTCTAATTTGTTCTGAAAATTATAAGTATGGATATGGGCTTTTATTACGATCAACTTTTTTCATGTTGCAGCTAAGATTTAATTGACTTATAGACACAAAAGACCATAAGAATTTACAAATCGAAGTTAGTAAGTTGTCTGACAACTTTCAGAATACCTATCATAGTTTCTTAGGAACTAAGAAATGATTACTAATACTTACTCGATTGTACATTATCAAATCGACAAAGTAGTATACTATTCACATGACGTTTTACATTAACATACTCATCTATCCCTAGTTTCAATCCTGTTCATTCCTAGAGAAACCTTGAAAGGATCTTTTAGGATCCTGAATCTTAAGGATCTTGTCAAGTTTTTATTCAGGATCCTGTTTCAAATCCTTAGTATTTCCTGTCTTCAGGATTTTTAAGGTAAAACAAGATCCTGTTCAGGATTTCTTCAAGTTCCTGCTCAGATATTTTTTTGAATTGAGAATACAGGATCCTATTAGGAT